AGCCGCGGGCAAGAGAGGCTGGCGGAGCCCCCAGACCTCCCAGCAGGGGCAGGGCAGGGCATGGCCTGGGCGGAGTGGAGCCTGCAGATCCCACACCCCTGATGCCCCCACCCAAGACCACTGAAGCCAGGACACCCGCAAGTCTCCAGTCCCACTACCCACCCCACTCCTGTATTCTTATTCTTCAATGATATTTATTTTTCTTTTCACTGTTTTAAAATAAAACTGGCCGGGCATGGTGGCTCACGCCTGTAATCCCAGCACTTTGGGAGGCCAAAGCAGGAGGATTGCTTAAGCCCAGAGTTCGAGACCAGCCTGGGCAATATAGCGAGACCCCATCTCTATAAAAAATAAATAAAAATAAAACCAAAGTATTGATAACTACAGTGTCTTGGAACCTCTGGGTGGAAAGTCAGGCCAAAGTTGGGACTGCGTGTGATTAGACGCCAGAAAGGACTGCCCAGGGCTTGCTGGTTGGCAGGGGTGGGTGGACTAGGAAATCTGACCCTCCATTCAGCCCAAATTGTCAACACCCTGGGCACGGGCCCCCTTGAAGGAAGGGCATGGATGGCATGGCCTTTGGCCCCGGAGAAACGTGGGCCGTGGGAACCACCTTTCAGACGCTGAGTCAGCACTGCCTGAAGGGGGAGCCCTGCCCGCCAATCTGCTGAACTGGTGCCAATGCCCAGCAGGCAGGGGGAGCACAGCCCACAGAAGCTGGAGCCTCTGTCTCTGCAGATCAGCCTCTGCCAGCCACCCGGGCAGAGGGAGCCCCTCTCCTTCCCCTGCCCCTGGGCCAAGCTGAGCCTGCCTCCCCAGGCCCCTTCCCACTCCCCCCCCCGGCAGGCTCCCAGTGCCAGCAAAGTCAGCCCCTGTCGCAGCCTGGCTTCAAGACCACGGACCCTGCCCGCCAGCCTCTTAACCAGCTCCTTCATTCTGTGCCCAAGTAACTCCAGAGTCCTCACTGCCCCTCAAACATCCAGCACTCAGGCAGACCACCAGGCATTTGCACATGCTGTTCCCCAGTCCAGATGCCCTTCCATGCCGCCCGCCCCTCGCTCCACTCCAGGATTCCTTCCTCCAGACAGTTCCCGTGGACGCTACGGGTGTGCCAGGTGCTGTGCAGGACCCCACGGTCCCCGAAACCACCCCAACCCCACCCAGCGCAGGCCAGACACGCCCTCGCTCAACGCATCTGCCCTCTGCCTTTCCGCCCGGTACTTCGAGTATCTGCCTCCCTCCCTGCCCCATTATGCTGGGAGGTCCTTGAGGGCAGGTCTGAGTCTGATTCATGAGCGGGTCCGATGCCCCTAACTCGCGTGTATTCCAGTGTGTGGAATGACCGTGGCCCACGCTTCCACCTCCACTTCCCTCCCGAGAGTCGCCCCGTCCATCACCTGTCTGCCCCTTCCCTCCCGGAGCCCGGGGGGGGGGCGCCCGGGGGGGGGGG